AATTTTTAATTTAAATTCTAAAAGCTCTTAAATCTAAAAGGTTTTGTTTTTTTTTCTTACCCTACTTTTAGGTCAAACTAATTTATTTTAATTGTTGTTGTAGCAAAGCCTCTCTGGATCTGATACATGACTGTCCATAGTCTTTCTTTATTTCACTCAGTGAGAATATTTATAGGTTTCAGAAACACTAATATGTTCTAGTCTGTTAGATTTCAATACGCTGTCCCATTCACAGCTGAGGATGTTCTATAATATACTGTATCTGCACAGAATTACCTTCCTAAAATTCAAAGAGAAAGAAAACTAAATTCTAAAATGTGGATTTGTAGATCTGTATTTTCAACTTTAAAGTTAATTTTTAAAAAAAGTCAAGGTGATGCCTTGCAGAAGAACATATTTTAACAATGACAAAGCTGATTAAATACCAGGGAAATAAGCAAAGCAAAATGGAGGAAACACGATGAAATCGGTAAAACAAAACACCCGATCAAAAGTTTTTCTTTGTATAGAGAATATCAAGAATAAACATACAAAGGAAGAAATGGTATATATAAAACACATTCTTACCTAAAATAGGTCTTTATTAAATTTCCAGTATAAAAGTTACATGCTTTTGTCATCAATTCTGGAGTCATCTATAATTAATAAACAATTGAGAGGACAAACGTTAAACATAAATAAATGAGATGCATGGGCTGACCCTGGAAGAAACATTAGAAAAACAAAGGAATGGTTGCCTCTGGGCAGGGCGGAACTGGTGTAACTGGGTTCAAGAACGGAAGGATTACTTATCATTTATGTTTTAGACTTTTTTTAATCAGTGGCAAGAAAAGAAATTTTTAAAATTCTGCTGTAGATTGTAACAGACATCAGATACACTGCCACAATGTTTAATATATGAGCCCTGTTTGGATTTTTATTTGAACAGAGCCTTAGGTAAAAAGACAGTTTGGAGGCAAGTTGGGAAATTTGAATAGGTATTAAATGATATTCAAGAATCATGGTTAATTTTGTTATTTAAGATAATGACATAAAAAATGTTGTTTCTGGTTAGAGAGGTCCACTGAGGCATTGTGGATGAAATAATAAATGTCTAGGATTTGTTTTTTAATAGTACAGCAAAAAAGGAGGAAAAGAAAATAGATGAACAAGACTAGCAAAATTCAGATCATTGTTTGGGCTGGATGTTGGAGGGTCATTATAGTAATATATATATATCGTTCCACCTTTGCTCTCTGTTTAATGTTTTTTATGCCTTTTCTTCCTGTAATTAATAGGGTCATCTGGAAATTTCATTTCCTAAGAAATCAGAATCTCTGTGACGTTAGCTTCCTCCTCATGACAGATGACTCTCACATGTTGGAACACACTTAATCTTTCTCCCTCTGTTATTAGAGCTGTCCCTTTTCTGGACCTTCTGGCTTACTCACAGTTTCCTGTGCTTACACCTCTCTATTGACACAAAAAAGATAAGTACATATTTATAATTTATAAATAAACATATGCAGGCTGTCCTCCTTTGCACAGTATTGCAATACTATAAAAACGTTCATGTAACTTGGAACTGTGCAAAGCAATCTTGATAATCAATGGGGGAAATTACAGTTGTTCTGTGACTTTTTAAATGTTTGCCAAAACATTAAAAACCCTTCTTTTGGCTGTATTAAAAAACAGAGGGGAAAAAAAAGTAGAGCTGTTATTTATTTGTTGTAGTAATAGTTGGTGGTCGTATGCCGTGGAGTCGGTTCCGACTCATAGCGACCCTATACAGGGTTTCTGAGGCTGTAAATCTTTACAGGAGCAGAAAGCCTCATCTTTCTCCCTCGGAACAGCTGGTAGTTTTGAACTGCTGACCTTGAGGTTAGCAGCCTGATTCATAACCGCTACGCTACCAGAGTTAGGTAGGTGAAGTCCTTTTCAATTCATTGTGATCCTAAGTACAAAAACAAACCTCTCTGCCTGGTCCTGCACCATCCACAAAATTGTTATTTGAGGCCATGGTTGTTGCCACTGTGTCAATCCATCTCCCTATGGTTTTTTTTTTTTTTTTTTTTTTTTTTTATTGTGACTGACCCTCCACTTTACCAAACAAGATGTCTTTCTCTAGGGACTTGTCACTCCTGATACCATGTCCAAAGTATGAGAAGTCTCGCCATCCTCGCTTTCAAGAAGCAATCTGGCTATCTGTTGTTGTTGTTAGGTGCCATCAAGTTGATATCAATTCATAGCGACCCTATGCACAACAGAATGAAACAATGCCTGGTC